GAACGGAAGTGCGTGTCGCCAGTGTCGACCCCCTCTTCATCTAGATGTCACCCCCTTAGTCTAGACGTCTAGACTTGGCGCGTGTCTAGACGGCGAGGCTGTTGTAGGGGAGAGTATCCACTACAACCTCACCTCCCTCCCACTCCCCATCTTCCTAGCCAGTAAACAGACTATTTTGCATCCCTTAATTTTAGCTGTGTTGATTTATGAGTGTTCATTTATGGCTGGTAAGCAGAGGTTCTCCTGCTTTATACACCTCGGCTGGGATTCCATCACGCCCTGAGGCTTTGTTATGTTTCATCTGTTTGATGGCAGTAGCTACCTCATCCAGGGATTGAGGATAGCTGAGGTGGATCAGCTCTGGATGCTGAGGGACCTGCTGGGAAGTCAGGACATCCACATCGGTGTTTTGGTTGAGCAATGAATGGTAGTGCTCTTTCCAGTGCTGCTGGAGGCCTTCATCGTCTTTAATTATGAGGTTACCGTCAGAAGAGCAGAGGGGACTGCGCCACGAGTGACTGGCCCGTAAAATGTTTTGGTGGAAAAGAAAAATTCGCGCATCTTGTGCTGATTTGCAAGTTTTTGTGCTTCACATGCTTTATTTTTAAGCTAGTCGCTCTTTAGATTGCGAAGTTCCCGCTGGGCTGCCGCTTTCTTCTTGCAGAATGTATCAGCTTTGGTTTGAGACTGAGGGTTGTTCTGCCAGTCAGTAAAAGCAGCATGTTCATCATCGATGAGTACTTTAATTGCCGGGTCATTTTCATCAAACCAGTCCTGGTGTATTCTTTTGATCTAGCTGAGGGTCTCTCTGCAGGTTTTTGTCTTAACAGTATTAAGAGTATCCCATTTGGCACTGGGATTCACGTTGTTTGCTTTTGGGTTGCTTGTAAGCCCATGTTCGAGCTGCTCTCTGAAAGCATGTGCTACTGCTGGATCCTCCAGATGCTTTGTATTAAAACCTCTTCTGGAGGCTTGCTGCCTTCGCCATTTTGGGACGACGTGAATTGAGAGTTTGGATCTGACAAGTCGATGATCAGTGTCACAGTGGTCTGAGCCACGCATGGCACTGGTGATGAGGACATCTCGGCGATCTCTTTCTCTGACAATGATGTAGTCAATGAGATGCCAGTGTTTGGATCGTGGTTGTTGCCACGAACCCTTGAACTTGTCAGCCTGCCTAGTGATAGTGAGGTTGTGAGCAGTGCACTTTCTGAGGCTGTTGGGATTACACTCACCTAGTCCATTTCTCCCTTTGGTTCCCTGCCAAATGTTAGCATCTCTGCCAACTCTGGCATTGAAGTCGCCAAGGAGCACACACACACACACACACACACACACACACACACACACACACGCACGCACGCACGCACGCACGCACGCACACACACACACACACACACATTAAGATTGCAAGCATGTGGAGTGAAGTTCTTATTGTATGACACATCTGTGTGTGTGTGACTGCATGGTAGCGAGTTAAATATCAGCTGTTGAGGAGTGCTTGGTAACACTCATTTCCACTCCATCTCGCTAACCACCCACACCTTTCTGCTTTCTCACTCCATATTTTAAAATGTTATGTAACGTAATTTTGAAGGGATACAACTTTTCTCATTTATTCTTATACTTATCGCAATCTCCTTAAAAATACTTTAAGTTTGGTGTTTATTCAAGACATTTTCAGGTCATGCGATCCACTAATCCCCCACCCAAGAAAGGGTGACCTGACATTCCATCAGAAGGCCAGGAATATGAAACCACTAATCCCCCATCCTACCTCCACCTGACATTGCATCAGGTCAGGTCAGTTATACGAGACCTACTATTCCCCCACAGCTCCATGGGAGTGAAAAATAACAGTCTTTGATGTAACACACAGCGTCATTCTTGTCCGTATCCTATAGATCTTTTATTTTTCAATATACTTATTTAACCAAACTTTTAGATAAACTATTCTGGATTACAGTATTATCGTAAAGAAATGAAGTTTCTAACTTGGAACTGTATTTACGGATTACAGTAGTTTAGAATCAAGGGAAACATCCCTAGCACCCGGAAATGTTCTGGGAAAGTGGGCTAGTGTCTGTCTAGTTTAGACACACAGAAACTTTTCCCAGTATCCGGAAAAAGTTTCGGGGATAAGGAGTTTTTCCAGGTTCAAGAAAGTTGTCTTGTTAGCCGTAAATCTCTAATCCCCGGAAGAGCTCTGCACCAATTGTTCTGGGTAACGGGGATATCACTCGTATGTCACTGAAATAATTGTAGTACTGTATATCCATGCTATGTATACTTCATATCCAGAACAACCACACCAACATGGCACAGCACAACCATGTTATATGAAGCATCGCTGTGTATTGGATGTGATTATTTTTTGTTATTTCAACCTGGTTGTTGCTAATATTTTAATGAGTTGATAATACTACTACCTACCCATCAGTGGTATATTGGCCCACATACACAAATACTCACATTTGTAAATGTGAGTATTAAAATTACCTACAGTAGTAGGTAGTAGACAGCTACCAAACAGGGAGGTACTACTGCCTGGGAAGATATTGGAGGCATAATGTGTTGTCTAATGGTAGACCCTGCTGCTACATGGCATCACGAAAATTGTGATCAAGTCCCAGGTTGCTAAACTGACTTTCTGCCTCATTTACATACAATTGCAGGGTCTCAATTGTTTCTCTTACTTTGACAACTCAACATATGTATATTGTTTCTCACTACCCCATTATTGATTTTTTCTTTTTTGCATTTCTTTATGGTTCTTTATTATTATTATTATTATTATTATTATTATTATTATTATTATTATTATTATTATTATTATTATTATTATTATTATTATTATTATTATTATTATTATTAGTGGTGTTGTTATTATTATTGTTATCATTATTATTTTATTTTGTATTATAAAGTTTATTTACAATGAATTATTATTATTTTATTTTTAATTTTGTATTTATTATAAATATTATATACAGTCATCCCTTGGTTATAGCGCACTTGGTTACCGTGATTTTCGTTATCACGCCTCCAAAATCTGCACACCTGCTGTTATAGCTCATTTTTCAAGCCGAGAATTTCGTTATCACGCAGTTGCCTCCAGGTGTATTGTTACCCCCTTGCTTCACCTACATCTATTGAGGATAAAATATTTCACCTACAAATTGACAATAACACATTTGCTGTAATCAGGCATATCTAAGTTGCCTCAACAATTGCAACCCCAGTTGCAATTTCAAATTCTGTGTCATTACTAAGGAATAACAAAGTCTCGGGTGCACTCTAAGATTGAGAGAAAACGGAGGACTCAGGCATCCTGAAGCGATGAGAAAACGGACTCCTCAGACGGGGGACTCAAATAAAGAAAGCATAGCTACATGTTTTGTGGACTACAGTATTGAGCGTACCCTTTTTATCACTTTGTAATAAACCTAGCCATGCCTATGTGTGTTTCTGATACTTACCATAACATTATCTATATCTTTAGTGGGTCTAAATGGTCGTAAAATGGGAAAATTGGGGTTGGGTCTTGGGTGCCTGGAACCAATTAGAATAATTCCCATAGGTTCTGTACTTTCATTATCGCGTTTTTTGTTATCACGCACTCGGCGCGGTCCCAATTAGGCGTGATAAGCAAGGGATGACTGTAATATGAATTATTATTATTATTATTATTACATTTTCACCCCCCAGGCCCTGATGTTGGTCAGTGACCTGTGCCCGGGTGGGCTAATCCCCATAAAAAAAAAAAAAGCTGTTAAACTTTTGTCATCTAATTTCATATGAACTTGGAGTACTGCCTTTATATCTGGGGTGGCTTTTCTTCTGTCCACTGACATCCCAAACAAAACATGTTGAACCAATGTGAAAAATGTATGATAATTTAACTCAATAGATCTATCTATCTAAACTCAAAATATGAGTTTGACCACCTTACATTCCACTCGAGCCACAACTCGAAGCTGCGTCACTCATCCTGCACCGTAAGAGCAACACACAGTTGGTTACATAAAGAGTTGCCTGTAACCAAACTCTCCACTAATGTAAACAGGGGCTGCTGGCGACACTCTGATGCTGTGATGTCAGATGCACAATGCCCCACGGAAGTGCATTGTATCCGCAAAAGTGGTGAGTAAGTGTGCGAATTTGAATGATGGGTACAATTGGAACCTACTGCGAAAGTGGTGAATCGCGAATCTAGATTCCACGAAAGTGGTGAGCCTACTGTATTCAATTTGCTTTCACACTTTTCGTTCACATACACCTCTTAGATTAGAGGTACCTTAGAGATGTTTGATGCTTCATTTCTTGCTCTGTTAAGTGTTTACTTCACACTACTGTAGGTGTTTAAATATAGTACTTTGTCATTTATGACTCTCCACATTGTGCAACTTCATTTTTTCTTCTCTTAAAATCTCTTTAATTCTGTACAGTAATGGAGTGATCACAATAGAGATTAGGAGGTTCATTTTTCAGATTACTGTACATTCACCACACCTAAAGAGTAAATATGAACCCTTACTCTTCTTTTATGAAGACCAATGGTTTCCTTCACAAAGCAGGAGGGAATAGGAAGTTTGACATTATGATTTGATATTATTTTTATCCATTTGATACATGATCTGAGTTCAGACCACTGGATATGAAGTATGAGAAAATTTCAGCTGCTGAAGTAGCTGCAATTTCTTTTTAAGAAGAATTAAAACCTCATATTTAAATTTACCCTTTGCCTCATTCAGACATACAGTATATATTGCCGGTGACAGAATTTTAGATTCTTGAAGAACTTAACATTTTTGTAACTGTGAATGCTTTTGACTGCCATACTACAAGAAATGCCTAATGTTTGACTAGACTTCTTTAGTTTTAGACATAATTTATGATAACCCAATTTTGAGGTAGGGGCATCAATTTTTACTTCATATTATACTGTACTGAATTATCTAAATATACTTTTTAATGTAAGATGTGTTCATCTTTTAAAGAAAATGCGGAGGCTGATTGTTTTTGGTGCTTCATCTCGTTGATGGGTGAGATACGAGACTTCTTCATCCGTACCCTTGATGAAAGTGAGAGTGGAATTGGTGCCATGATGGAACGACTAATGTCCAACCTTAGACAGCATGACCATCAGCTATGGAACCGTCTCAGAGTCCAAGAACTACGTCCGCAGTTCTTCAGCTTTCGGTACTGTATGGTGTAGTGGGAGATATATAAAGGAAGAGTATTTGTATTAATGTACTGGTAAAAGGTTACATTGAATTATGTTCATTACTGCAAAGGTTTTTTACCTTTTGGACGCGATATACAATTTTTGTCCACTTTTTTAAAAAATACACCATTTCGCTGGAGCGCTCCTCAACATCTCCCTCTCCTGCCTGGCAGACGACAGAGTTTAGCTTTTGCCTTACGGTGACGAACTCAGCTGATTGTCATTACTTACACTGGTACATTTATCTCTTCTTATTTTTAATTTTTTTGCACTGTTATTTAGATATACAGTGGTCCCTCGGTTAACGAACTCAATTTGTTCCAGAGGGTCGTTCGTTAACCGAAACCATGGTTTCAATGGGATATTGGGTAATTGGTTCCAGCTCACAGAAAAGTATATACAAAGTAAAGCCAAAAACACATAAAGTCAGAAACACTCCTAAAATTCCCCTAAATCGCCCTTAAATCACTATACAGTTAACCCTCACTTTACGCGGTTAATGTAACCCGGAGGGTACCGCGGAAAGTGAGGAACGCGTAAAGTGAATAACATAACATATGGGATTAATTGAAATGGAGTCCGGGCCGATCCCCAAACTCCACTTTTTGACGACACATAACTATGTTGTAGTAAAAATTTTATCTTAACTTTATGATGGTATGAAAAATCAAGTAATATAGAAGAGGTTAGGTTAGGAAAGATAAAGGTTAACATAGGAAAAATAAAGGTAAGGTTAGAAAACTAAAAATTTGGTGTAACACTTACGGTAGTAGAAGAGATGGGTCGGCATACGGGGATGGAGGCTGGTTCCGAGGCAGAGGGCAGATTACTGGCCCTCAGGTGAATCACCATTACTAGGTGAATCACCATCATTGTCACTTACAGTTGTCAGGGCTTCCCTGACAAATCCCTCAAAGTCATCTTCACTGCCACTATCACTGGCTTGGGCTGGCTGTGGTGGGTTGCGGGCGAAGAAATCTGTTATGCTTTGCTGACGGCTGGCGTTGATGTTGTCGTGATACACCTTGATGTACGGCTCCATAGCCTGCACCAGCCGGGTATGGAAGACTTCATAGCGGTCATCGTCATTGTCGCGGGAAAGGAAGGACTTCATCTTCTCTGCACACTCCATGGCACCCTTAATATCACTATGACTTAAATTGTGTTCTTCGGAGACTGACGCACCTTCTTCCTCCTCTTCACTGACGTGTTCTTCTTCCAACATCTCGTCGGCAGTCACTTCAGGATCTCTGATCACCTCAGGATGTCGTCGTTGGTGGTCTCGGAGAAGCCTGGAACTGTAACAGTCTGCGCAGCTTCTCTGGCAAGGTCCACTGCTACTGCAACATTCTGAACCTCACCAGTCACAGATTGACTCCTCCTCTCACCTGGTATTCCATGCAACACATGTCTCCATGCGTGACGAATTGTAGCAATAGACAGCTGATCCCATGACTCCACCAAGAAGTCCACAGCTTTCTTGATGTTAAATACTCTCCAGAATTGTTTGAAGAGTATTTTTTGCTGTTCTAACTGTTGTTCCTCATCTTCGTCGCTCTTGCTATCGGTGGTGGTGTCACTCAGGTTACGCAACTCTTCCCTGGTGAAGGTGTAGTCGTTCAGGAGCTGGAATTTTTTTGTTGAGAATGCAGCTTTCACATTGCAAATCAACTCCTGGTCCATGGGCTGGATTAAAGACGTAGTGTTGGGAGGAAGGAAGACCACTTTTACGTTGGGGTGACGATCTAACAGTAGGGGCGAGTGTCCTGGTGCGTTGTCCAGCAGCAACAAAATATTAAATGGGACATTCTGTCGCTCACAGAATTTCTTTACATCGGGAACAAAACAGTCATCAAACCAGGAGAGGGACAGTGTAGAGAACATCCATGCCTTACGTGCTGTCAGCCAGTGGACATTTAGCTTGGTCATGTCCATGCTCTTGTAGGCGTGCGGCTTGCGGGCTGTGTGGATCACCGATAACTTGAGCTTACAGGTACCGGAGGCATTGGTGGTAAACAGGACGGTGATGCGTTCCTTCTGCATTTTCCGGCCCCGAATCCTGCTGGCATTCTTCACAACGAAGGACTTGGAAGGTAGTTTTTCCAGAAAAGACCAGATTCGTCCATGTTAAACACCTGGTCGTCACTGTACTGTCCTTCCTCCATAATCTCACGTAAAAACGGAGGAAATTCCCGAGCCGCAGCACGATCAGCACTCGCTTCTTCACCACCAATGTTTATATTGGTGATCTTGTTCCGGATCTTAAACCTCTGTAACCACCCAGAGGAAGCATTAAAGGGTTTGGGCTCTGAAGTTCCCATCTTTTGTGCCACTGCCATGCGGCTACCCACGCGGCGTAGTCCTTAACGTGAGCGCCGTGGTTTGATCGCCATGTTCGTTACTTGACGCATTCAAGCAATTCCTGCATAATTTTTCTGTCTTGAGAAGCACCTGGTTGTGAAAATATTTCTGATCATAGAAGCACCCAGACTTTGTGATCTTCTATGTGCCTTATCTTGGCTGGAATCCTTCTTTATAGTCCCGGATCAGATCTGTTCACGCCCATGCTGGCGCCGCCAAATCAACCTGCTCGTTCCTTTCTCCAAACTCTGATGATATACTTCACCTCGTAGCTTAAGGAACGCCGGTCTTCTTTGGTTTAGCGCCGCTGTCCAGGTAAGGAAAGGCTTTCTGGGTGGTGGACAGCTTATCATTTTACGGAACAATGGATGCTGCTTACACGGAGTGGCCTTGAGGGATGAAATCGTCATGCTAGGGTCAAGGCCGTTTTCCCTCCCTCCTCCCTCCGGTGGACACGCCATAACACTTTAAGCCACAGCTAGCAGCAGAGGGGTGGGGATGCAGGCTGTTCACAGGTTCGATACGCTATATGACGCCGGTGATAACGCATCGTGCGACACACACTCGCGCAACCTACCGCGCCGCCGCCTAAGTGGGAGGAGGAGGAGGAGAGGCAGGCGGGCGGGTGGGGAATGTGAGCAGGTTCCTCAAGGCACGTGAATGGGACAGTGAAGACAGGTGACTATATATATATATATATATATATATATATATATATATATATATATATATATATATATATATATATATATATATATATATATATATATATATATATATATATATATATATACATACATACATAATATAATATATAATATATATATTATATATATATATATATATATATATATATATATATATATATATATATATATATATATATATATATATATATATATATATATATATATATATTATGCTTTCGTAATTCATCTTCAGGGTGAGTACAGACTAAGGAGGAGTACAAAACAAGGTATATATTGTATATATATATATATATATATATATATATATATATATATATATATATATATATATATATATATATATATATATATATATATATATATATATATATATACACACACCTAGACCCCTGACTACGACTACGTGGACTTACGACTGCCTAGATTTTTTATAAAAAAAAAAAAAAAAAAATTCTTCAAATGACACGCATTTTCTATACCGAAACGTTTCCAGTTAATGTAGTTTCGTATAATTAGAAAATTATGGGGCCATATGCATTCAGCTGATTAAAGGTAAGTGCTCAGTCACACTGTAACCATTCCTTATTATTTATTACTTTCACTGTACTGTATCCATTCCTCATTATTCATTACTTTTATCTAACTGTATTTCATTGTAGATTATTTATTAAAAAAAAAAAAAAAAAAAAATTTATCTATGTCGATTTACTTACCATGTCGAACTTAATGACCTGGATTTGGTCCCTAACCCCGCTGTAAGTCGGGGTCTAGGTGTATATATATATATAGGTGGCCCTCGTTAACGTAACTCAACTGCTCCAGAAGGTCGTTCGTTAACCGAAACGTTCAAGTAACCTAAACCATTGTTTACCGGGTTTTGGGTAATTGGTTCCAGCTCACCGAAAATTTCCTAACTTCAACAAAATGGCGGAAAAATTTACTACTTTGAGGTGTGTATGTAGAAGGCTCCTTGGATGATGGGTGGAGATGCATTTGAAGTGGAGGTGCAGGAGGAGAAGGGAGAAGAGAAGAAGTGGAGGTGGAGAGAAGCATTTTACTGCTTCTTGGAAGGTGAGAGTCACCTTCCATGAAAATGCTCAGGAACCTCTGGACTGACAGATTCTCCACCATGAACAACATCCCTCTCCTTCTTGAAGTGGAAGGCTGAGGCTAGCATCTTGTTCCTCTGCCTTTTACTGAAGAAAAGTACACACCAGGTCTGTGGGGCATCTGTCCTCACCATTAACTTATGTTTAAAGAAGGAGACCACTGAGTCCTCTAACATACACAGTTAGTTCTAGTTTTTTCCACTTTGGTGTTGAAGCCAGTTCCCTGAACTTCTCCCAGTGGTAAATCACATCTTTTCAACTGTTTAGCTGGACATATGGTCATCACTTTCACCCTCCTCACCACTGCCGCCTCACCAGCAGAACATCTCATCCAGTTCCTTCAAGCCATTAGGAGTAAATTCCTCCTCATGAGACATCACATGCTTCCTCCACATCCTTCTCCTCCACTTCAAGACCCACGACTGGACCAATGGACACAATTCTGGTCCAACTCTGTAACATTCCTCAACCTCAAAATCATGGACTACTGATGGCCACAGTAAGTCATATGAAGAATTGAGGGTTCTATTGAGACTTCTTGCCAGATGACACAATCAATTTTAGCAGCCTCCAGGACGCTGAATTGTGTCTTCCAGAACTGTTTCAGTGTTGTTCAGATCAATGGAAGGTTTTGATGACACCTCCTAAACATTTTTCTTCATGTACAACTTCTGAAGTTGCTGATCACATTCTGGTCCATTACGTAAGTGAGTGATGCAGTGTTGGGAGGCAAAACAACACTTTCACAAAGTCAAATTTATACTCCAAATTTCTGGCAAGGTCAGGTCATGACCA